AGCTCTATCAGCTTTTGGGAGACGGAGCAGCTGCCACCCTGAACTGTGCTGGCCAGATGCGTTTCACTGCCTCTTACCCGCCTTTCTTGCTCCTCCTCCAAAATAATCCTGCTCTGTGAACCATATTAGATACTCTGGGGTGTTTGAAGCTCCCCTATAGTGACTCTGTGTGGGAGTCTGGCAGTATCTGGGAACCCTGTGCAATCTCTTAACGATTTTTGTGTTCCTGCTGCAGTTTTAGGGTAGTTTTAGCTTCAGGGCCCTGCTGTGACTGACCCCCTGACTCTTGCAGCTGGTGACTTGTGTTTGGGAAGGCCCCTTAAAGCTTGTATTTTGACAGTATTGAATAGCTTGAGGTATTGAGGTGATTTCACTGCAGTAAAATACTTTTATTTACTTGCTAAAATATTGGTAGGCATGTAGCTCCATTACAAACCTCAAAAGGGTAGGAAAATGTAAACATGGACCTGTATTTCAGATTGACTTGTATTATCTCTTCAACCTCTCAAATCCTTACACATCTACACCATAATATTGAACTTGGGCAATCTAAAGTGAAACAGATTTTCCTTACTTGGAGGAACTGTAAGTACGAAGACTTGTTATTCGAGGTCCTGTAAACACAGTCATGCAGAAGAAACTTTCTTACCTTTCACTGGAAATTTAAATGTAAATTTAATATGTTGAATATTTTTATTTTTTTTTTAAATCAAGTACATATAATCTCTCCTTCTCTCTCTCTCTCTCTCTTCTCTCTCTCTCTCTCTCTCTCTCTCTCTCTCTCTCTCTCTCTCTCTCTCTCTCGTCTGAAACAGAGATTCATCCTGCAGTGAAACCCAATGTTATCAGGTCAACACCAAGCCTTCAAAGTCCAAGCTCAAAACGACTGCTTGCACCCTCCAATCACTCTTCATTAAGTATTTTGGGAAAAAGAAACTACAGCCATCATAATGGTCTTGATGGTATGTGAAGGAATATAAGGGAAATATTCTTTAAGTCTCTGACTTGCAAAACTCTCTGGACCTGAGATGACATTAAATGAGGGGGTACAGACTAACAGAAATGTAAGATATGGATAGCATGTTTATAGCATTGGTTCTTAATGCAATGAATGGTGGTGCTTATTCATTGAACATGGATATATTAATGCCATCTCTTAGAAAAAACTCCTTTGACCATTTTTTTTTTTACTAATCTTGATATAAAAGGATAAGAAAAGAATAAAACAAATTTGGTGAAGGCAGAGATGCAACATGTTTTATTTTGGCTTATTGCACTGCGTTTTTATTTGAAGAACTGTTTTGCAGAGATATGCAAGACCTTTTGGATTACTCTGTGTGAAATTACTTGATATATATCGGACCTGCTAGTTTACAGCCAATCTCTTTGCTAGTATGTGAATTGTAAACATGGCTTAGTCTGGATTCTCAACAGTGAGATTTGTAATAGAGGGAAAATAACTTCTGGCATCTTGCATCCCAAGACCAGTGTCACAGAGTCAGTTAAAACAAGAAGTAGTCCTGACAATAAGGACTGGTGGAAGGTAGGAGCTCCTTAGAAAGCGACTGTCCCTGCATTCATAGTACTTGCAGAGGAGGAAGGAAAAGCGGTGTCGCATAGGTACAGGAGAGGCTTTTCCTGTACACTGTGCAGTGCAGAGGTGATGTTTGAGCCTGGTGTATCCAGCCACTTCATCGCAGCATGGTGCAAACGGAGAGCAGATACGAAGCTGTGCAAAAAAATGATGGAAATCGGTGGGTAAGGCTAACTTTTCTCGAATAGTCTTAATTTTTTATTCTGAAAAGTGACTGTGTATTACTGATTTTTTAATGACTACCAAAAAGAAAGATTTTAAACTGGGACTGTGAGCAGTTTTACCACGTGTCCATGTAAGATGAGAATCCAGCAGGATATAATTTGTTTGCACTGAAAAGAAATGCATGCATTCCTGAACTGGTTTTTTGTGAAATGTAACTTTTGTAAGCCATTAGCTTATTTATTCTGTAATTGAATAAGGTTGTTGGGATTAGAAATCTGAAAGAAGTTAGGCTCTGAAATAAGACTGTTTGGGACATGATCTGTACAAAAGGGGTGACTGTCTTTTTTCATACTTTACAGAATAGACCGAGGTAGAAATGAGAAGGACTTGCCTTTTAGATGAACTGATAGAAATAGTGTTCCAAATACAGGAAGAAAAATTTGATCTGTCATCTTCCCATAACGATCATGTTTTTCTGTCATTGCCAATGCTATTTGTATCTTGCACTAAAAATACCTACTGTACGTTTATTAACACCTAGATAGAAATCACTACATACTTTGACAAAAAGTGGTTATTTAGTATACACAGAAGAGGGGATCACTTGGACCTCTGCTCAGTGTGCAAACAGCCATTACACAGTAGGCAAACAACATGCATAATAACAGAAGTTGTTTGGTGGACCAAGATGACAACCATGTGACTTGGAAGAAAAGATGATGACATTAATAGGCATAGCCATAAATGCTGAATTTCCAAGTTCTGCAGGGATGGTCTGGTAGTTGCTGCATGGGAATGGGAATCAATGCTGACCATTAGACCGGATTCTTCGTATGAGCTTTTAGCAATGAATGACTTTCATCTGGAAATAAAAATGATGTTACATTTCTACTGCAGAGAAGACTGTAGCAATAAGTTCAAGGTAAACATTATTGTGATTATGTCCCTCCATATGTCTCTATAAGGAGGCATGCTTGGAAGTCTTTAAAATTTTTCTTCTACTTAGTATGGATGTTCTCTTCAAAGTAAAGAGTGTATAAAACCAGTCATTAGCCACACTGGTTATTTTTTATCAAACAGTCAGGTAACTGTTAAGGCAGTTTGCACAAAATAACATCTAATTTGAAACATTAGTATTGAGAATGGTAATTCATTGCTTTAAGAGATAACTATTTCTGGTTATCTATTTTCTGTGAAAACATAACTTACTAGAAAGCATATATCCTAAATAACTGAAATCTATATTTTGTTAGTGTAAAAATGGCTATTTTAGTATTTTAAAATGTCTATTTTGGCTCTTGTCCTAGCCCCTTTCTTTAATTAAAAGCCTGAAAAGTGTAAATAAAGTGTAAAGAAAAAGCAGCAAACCAGTAGTAATGATACTTAACAGCAGAGGTCCTCTGTTCCTTTTGACTTAAAAACAATTACTGTAATATTTACCATTTAACTCCTTCTCTGGTTATTGGTAAATATAAAATACTTTTTTTTTGGCTCTAATTTATCCAGCTTCTCTTCAGTACACAGGAAAAACTCTGACCAGATCAATCTGGGAAATGGTGGTTTCTGTGTAATTGCACTGACAACGGTGTACTGTTTGTGCAATGAAAGGTTTCGCCAACCTCCAGAGTTTTTGTGTTACTATAAATACACAAAAAAAGCTTTTTTGATTTCAAAATACTATTGATTGTTGCAGGGTTTATTGCACTGTATCAATTAACAGTATCCAGAAAGCCAGCTATGGAGATGATGATACATTCTGTCTTTCAGTGCCTGCTTTGGTGAAATGAGCAAACAAAAAGGAGCACAGCAGGCTTATATTAAGTCATATCTCTTGCTGTTTTCATAATCTTAATGTTATTGACGGTGAAATGTCTACATGTTCAGGTTTGTTTTTTTCCAACAGTATTAGAAATTTGTTGTAAAGAAACCATATAAATATGTTTAAGATATACAATAATTTACAGCATTCAAGTAAATATCACTTAGGCTTATGCAAATAGATATTTAGATTGGCTTACTTAAAGTCAGTCTTACTGCCTAGGTGAGTTGAGTGCCATATTTTGACAGAATTTGTTATTAACAAAATAATAATTGATTCAGAAGTAAAGCAGTGTAATATGGAAATGGCATTTCTTTATGCCTGTATGGGGGAGTCAGGGAAGATTATGAGAAACATCATTAGTATTTGGTTTAATGCTTTTCAGGGTAATAAACAAGAACATGATTAGTATTTCTTAGAGAAGTCTTATCTTGGTTTGAGTCTTGATTTTGGCCTTTGCAGCACAAGTTTCCCTTTCATTTTTCCATGGATGAACCTCGAGCAAGAGTCTGGTATGACTGATAGGAGTGAGGGAGTCTGTCATTTCTGACCACTACTGCTCAATCTATATCAAGAATGATGAGGGAACTCATTTATCTCTTCATAAATGGTGGCACTTGTGCCCTGGTATCTTGCTATTAACTGATTGGAGTGTCAGTCCCTGGTCGCTGAGAGATAGTTGTAGTTGTATGTATGAACCCATGAATAAGGCATAGACGTAAGTAAAATTGCACTGCTTAAGCATTGTGTATCGTAACTGGATAGATAGAATATCTTGTAGTTGTTTGTGTCCTTTATTGTAGGAGGAAGACTTCTTCTGGGTGGTCTTAGAAAAGTGTTTTTCCTTTTCTTTTCAAACAATAGCAAATCTTGCATTCTGTAGGATGGAGTGAAAAACGCCAGAAAGCTTTTTTCCGTTCTGGAAAAAAATCACAGTACTTTGGGGAGCTTTTGTGTAATATGCATGCTGGTGCTTTTAACTACTTTGAGATGCAGTATTTCCATTGCTGCTGAAAATAAAGTCAATGTAGGGTATTTAAGTGGTTCTCAGCAGTGAAGACAGTCTCTTTCGAATGGGAAAATTCCATCTTCAGAAAATCACGACACTGCAGAATGTTACGTATATCCAGTTTATGACTGAAGTTGACAATGCGGAGATTTAGGTGTGACTGTAAAGTGCTTTGTAGATATTTTGATTCTGATCTTTAAATTACAGTGTCTGAAATTATTCCGAGCAATTACTTTCACCCACAAGCTACTTAACTGTGAGCAACAGTACATCCAAGTAGTCAAGTTTCACATCAGGCTATTGTTTTGGCAGGGTGAGTAATGATAATTTTCCTTATAATATTTGCAAAGATCAGGTAGAGGTATTTTACATGAGTATAATCTCTGTCAGCTGGCAGGTATTTCCTTACTTTTACATGCATCAGAACCAGAATATCCACAGGATATCCAAGATATTAACGTCACTAATGAGGTACAGAAATCGGTCTCTGCCTGTTGATACCATTTTCATGACTTGTGGGCAGAAATAAGAGAACCAGTGGTTCATAGCTGAAGGGACTTTAATCAACAGCCCTGATCCTCCTTTTCTCTTCCTCTGCCCAGACCTTTAATGCTGTATTTCAGGCTGAGATGTCCGGCTGCCTTCAAGAGATTTCTTTCAACAGTAAAATTTCTGTTCTTGAATATACTGAAGTATGCAGCTATATCTAAGAATAAGACTGCAATTGTGGGGTCTGTTTTCCTAGGAACCTGTACATCTCTGGCACAGCAAGATGAGAAAGTGACATGAGCAATTGGAAAAGAGAGAAAGACCTCAAAAAACCCGTACCTTCTCTCTTAGATGCTATTTTGGTCAATCTTTCTCTCTCTGCTTAGTTTTGGCTATTGAGGAGATAAGCAAGGAGGAAAGGCCTATATCTCACTCCTGTTTTTCCATGGGGAATTTGAGACTCTCCTTTGACAAACACATGAAAATATAAGCAGCCTAACTGACAAGCAGGGAGACTGGAGCCTTTCCTGCCCCAAATTCTAACGTGTGCTTCATCATAATAAACTTGACGTAACCCAATGTGAAAGTACATTAGAGGGAAGGAGTTTTCACTGTAGGATGGAATTTCTCAGCAGAGGGAGTTATTTTTTTCTCAAAGTTGTCTGATCATTGTCACAATACTATTTTTCGGTAGAAATGGAGATGTTCTACTGTGGTGGCAGGCTAGCAATTAAAAAACATCTGGCACTCGATGCATATTAATAAATTATAAACCTACCTAAATTGTTATAACCCTCATTTTACATACCAATAATTTCCAACAGAAAGAGAAGAAATGACATGTGATAACCAAGCTACTATGTGAATCCACTTCTGCCGTTTTTTC